CCGAGACAGCGGCCCCACCGCCTGCGCCCCGTCGGGGCCCCTCACCAGAGGCAGCGCTGCCATGGCCTCCTTCATCTCCGAGAGGATGATGTGCCGGTAGATGTTCCTGGGTGCGCTCTGGTACCGCATCTTCCTCCTAAAGCGGGGAGGGGAACAGAGGATGGCACCAAGGACACCTCAGCACAGGCAGCTTTGCATTTCTGCTTCTCTAGCTGCAGCGTCACCCCGATTCCCGGCTCCGGGCGGACGCGCTGTACTGTACGGAGCTGGCTTAAGGCGAAACCAAAGTCACTTGGCAGCTGCTGACCTCAGATGAAAGAGCACAACAGCTCAGGGACACGACACAGATCCTTTCCACCAGCCCTGTTCCTCTGCAGGTCAGCAGAGCAACCCAGCTGCAGCTTAGGACAAGACCTAATGCTTCTCTCTCCCGCTTCTCAGAGCTCGAGAGCGTCTCTACGCACTCACCTGCCCTGGGCGATAAATGCCCGCGAGCCGCGCGGCCACCCCTGCGCCTCCCGCAGCAACCCCTTCACCCTCCCGGGCGACCTCCGGGGCACACGCGATGGCCGAGGCTGGGGACAGCCAGCACAGCGCACGCTCCCCGGCGAACGAGAGCTACAGCTCTGAATTCACGTTTGTGCCAAGTAGGGAAGAGGAACCTCCGCCTTCCTGGCCCCACAGCGTAACCCTTGGCATCAGCAGCTGCCATCGGATCGGCGGTCTTGGGGCTCCGAGCAAGCTCCCACCCCAGACTGAGCTCCCCTCCCGCCTGCAGAGCCCCCTGGCCCGCTCTGTCCCCATGTTTCGGGACCCCTGCCTGCTACGAGAGCCGCTCACCTCCGCCTGCCGCACTCACTTGTGCTCAGACTCCTCCACCAGCGGGTCCTGGGCATCCACCATGCGCAACACCTCGTGGACGTTGGTCTCCAGCCACGCCATGACGGCTGGGTCCTTCCACAGGGAGTGAGTCCTTCCCACGTAGAGGGATGTCAGCTGGTTCAAGGCGGGAGGCTGGCTACGGGACACAGTTGTTAGTCAGGGCACTCTCCTCCTGCCCGCCCGCGGGTCCCCGCGCTGGCTGGCCAGGGCTCGTCCCCGCACTGTGCTTCAGCGCGAGAACACTGAGAGAGGCATCGCGGGCTCCCTGCTTTGCTGTTCCCATCCACCTTCACCAGTTTTTCTGACCTCCGTCTATCTCTGGGCTAAGCATAGCCATCAGATGAAAGTTAACGCTGCCTTGACCCGAGGGGGAGACCACTCGCTTGTTTAGGAGGACCACGTGGCAGGGAAACCCAGACTGGCAGGAGACAGCCTGCCCTGAGAGCATGCACAAGTTGCTCCCTCTTACCACATGTACCAACAAGCTTCGGTATGAACTTCTGACCCATCCACATCAAGGTGAGGCAGGCCTATTAGCATTATCTGGTGGCCATTATAGAAATCCATTACCAAAGCATCTAACAGCCTACTCAGGAAAATCAAATATTCTCCTCTGCAGTTTCGTAACTCCATTAGCTGCCTGAGCAAGCAAAAGCCCCACTACCGGCAAAATCGATTCCTTCTTTTCACCGAGAACATCTCCAGGGCTTACCTTATCCGAGCATTCAGCCCAAAAAAGGAATGGGACGCAACCCTGGCATCAGGCTGCACGCTGCAGTGATCCAACAACGGCATAAGAACTGCAGGAGAGAGCCAGAGAGCTCGCTTTCAGCGGCCCGGCAAGGAGCACCACGGAGCGGCCGCTCACCGCTGCCAGAGCCAGCCCCGTCCCGGGGGGCCAGCACCCCACCGCGGCGCTGAAGAGGACCCACCCAAGGAGGGTGCGAG